ATTGAGCCACCTGGGAAGCCCACAGTTAGACTTAACAGGCAGTAAAGAAAATTTCTAAAAGAGAGATGAAAGAGAAAAATACTGACAAATGAAGCAAGGAAAGACAATGAGAAGTAAAGTGACAGATGGAGAAACCCCTTACACAGTGTCTGACCAAGCATTTATCTATATCTGAAACTTACTTTGCAATCACTTATATCTGGAAATAGCTTCCTCTTTTTTTTTAGCACCTCAGTGATCAAGTCTTGTAGGTGACATTTAACTCTGGGAAATTGGATAGGACTAGGGCAGGTGCTATTTGGCAGAGAGAGAATCACCTTTACCTGGAGGTGTCAGCATCTACAGAAAACCCTTTTTCAACCTGGAAGAAGAGATATAAATCTGTTCCGAGAGAGATTTCAATTGCTTTGGACCCAAGGTTCAGCAGGAGTTGTTGTGAAGAGCTTATGGCAGAAGACCCAATTAGTTAGTTCTGGCTGGATCAAAATGAAGGACCAAACTATTGAACTTGATTTATTATTTGCCTGGTAATATGTAGACATCCTCTTCCCATCTCCATATAAACTTGGGGAAGAGTTGTTGCTCCCGCTGAAGGTAATTGCTGAAATTGGTCTCTTGTGTTCTGTTTCTTCTTTTATTTTCCCCAGGGTTAATTACTGTGTGTGAGACCTTTGGCTTAGGGAATATTGTAATAGCACCCCTGTGATAAGGCAAAACCAATATCTATGGTTTGTTTCCTGGGAAACTCCCTTAGTTTCTAGCTTTTTACTGTTTTTGTTTTTAAACTGTTTGTTTTAAACTTTTCCCAGCCTTTTAACATCAGGTGGAACAAAGGCAATGGGGCTTAACAGGGCTTGTTGATAACTTCACATCTGTGATTTATTTTCTCTTCCAAAAACAAATTTGAAAAAAAGGAAGGAAAAACTAATGTAGTTGTTACAGGTCGAAAATGTTTTCATAGTGGTACACTCACATTTTGTGAACTCCTACTTCACAAATACTAAGGTGCTCAGATAGAACCACATAGAAGAAGCACAGAATCTCAGAGTTAGAGGAACATGAGAAATTATCCAATCCAGCTATTATCTCTAATACTTTGTCATGCTCTCTGGGCAGTGATTTTTTAGAAAATTTATGTATAATTGACGTGTAATGTTACATTAGTTTCAAAGTGATTCAGTGTTTATATAAATTAGGAGGAAATCACCATGCTAAGTCTATTTTCTATGTGTCATCTTTTAAAGTTATTACAATATTTATTGGTTATATTCCCTATTCTGTGCTTTTCATCCCCAAGACTTATTTATTTTATTAACTGGCTGTTCTATCCATTATTGTGGGTGGGGTCTTGAAGTTTCTATGTATCATTGCAGAACAGTGTATCTCTCCCTTCAGCTTTGTGAGGTTTGCTTCATATATTTTGATGATCTATCATCAGGCATGTAAATGTTTATAATTGTTATATGTTCATGCTGTACTGAAACTTTTATTACTGTGTGATGTCTTCCTTGTCTCTGGCATCTTTTTGCCACCCTTTCACCTTCAACTTGTTTGTGCCTTTGTCTCTCAAGTGAGTCTCTTGCCCATAGCATATAGTTTGATAATGTGTTTAATCTCTTCTGTCAATTTCTGACTTTAACTTGACAGTTTAATCCATTTACATAGAACAGCCAGAGAGAAGACAAGGAAATTGAGGACTCAGCACACCAAACCAACTAAATCTAACAGAAATACACAGAATATTCTCTAAAGAGGATATATGAATGGCCAAAAAGCACATGAAAATATACTAAACATCACTAATAATTAGAGAAATGCAAACCCAGACTACAATGAGATGCCACTTCACATCCATGAGGATGGCTACTATCAGAAAAACAGAATACAACAGGTGCTGGTATGGATGTGGAGAAATAGGAACTCTTGTGTACTGTTAGGTGGAAAGGAAAAATAGTACAAACCTTGTGGAAAAAAGCATGGTGGTTCCTCAAGAAATTAAAAATACAATAACCATATGATCCATCAATTTCACTCCTGGCATATACCCCAAAGAACTGAAAGCAGAGTTTTAAAGAGATATTTGAGGACCCATATTCAGAGTAGCATTATACATAATAGCTGAAGTGTGGAAACAATCTCAGAATCCATCAGTGGAAATACAAATATGGCCTATACATACAACAGAATATTATTTTGCCTTAAAAATGAAGAAAATTCCACAAGATCCCACAGCATGGATGAACCTGGAAGACATTATACTAAATGAAATAAGCCAATCACAAAAAGACGAACACTGTATGAGGTATTTAGGAAAGTCAAAATCATAGAGACAGAATGCATAAAGATGATTACCAGGGGCTTGTGGAAGGGGGAGAATAGGAGTTTGTTTGATGGGTGTTAAGTTTCAGTTTTATAGGGTGAAAGGAGTTATGGACTGGGCGGTCGTTATGGTTGCATAATGATGTGAATGTATTTCATACCACTGAACCGTACATGTAAAAATTATTAAGATGGTAATGTTTATACATTATGTACTTCACTGAAGTAAAACAAAAAAAAAATCTCCCCTCAAATTGGCTTAGCATGACCTCACACATGTAAATAGGTGAAAAAACTGTCATCAAATGAAAAAACATAATTATCTGGTCCTTCATTTTCTGGAAGGAGTTATTGACACCTGCTCATATACTGCCCTGTATTTCTTGTTCCTCCAGATAAGAGCAGGACTGATCATAAGGGATAAATCAAGGTCATTTATATCACCCTGACCTGGTCAGAAGGACATTGCTTGATTAACTGACTGGCCCACTGAATGATGGAACAGGTGGACTCCAGATCTATGGCTATTGGGCATTATAGTAATTGGCCAAAAAGTTTTCTGGGTGCTTTGGATAATTTAAATGAAGTTCAAAAGACTTTCCTGGTGCTGTTTTAATTTTTGATTAAAAATTATTGATTGAGTAAAGTATTAATTAGGGTGAGATGAAACTGCTAACAAAGTAACTCAGTAAGAAATCAGTGGATTAAAGAAGTTGGAGGTCTATTTTCCTTTCACTTAAAATTCTTACGTGAACGCTCCAAGTTGGCAGGTGATTCATTTCCACTTGGTTACAAGGTACTGCTGATGAAGCTGGGTCCCTGTTGTATGCCAGTTCCAGCTCAGAGTAGGAAAAATCATGGAAAAGTTCCTATGCCAGGTTTGAGGGCCAGACCTGGGAGGATTACACATACACATGAACTCTTCTCTTACTCAGTTTGGGAGAACTCTGAAATATGACCATACCTGGAAGCCCTGTTCCATCTACAGTTATCTGCCTAAGGAAGAAGAAAAGAATGGACCCTGGTGGGCAGGTAGCTATCTCTACCACAGTGCCAATTAGTAGATATTAGGGAAAAGGGGGCTGTGGCACAAACACAAATGAAATACCCTTTCTCTTCTCCAGAGACTCCGATTTAAATATAACACACGTCAGCCTGTGATTATTGTTTCAGGCTTCCCTGCTGGCTCAAAGAATCTGCCTGCAGTGCAGGAGACCCAGATTCGATCCCTGGGTTGGGAAGATTCTTTGGAGAAGGGAATGGCTACCCACTCCAGTATTCTTGCCTGGAAAATGCCATGGACAGAGGAGCCTGATAAGTGCTATTATAAAATACAAAGGACTATGGGAATACGAGTCCTTGTATATAGGAGGATATAAGTTTTCACTGGGAAAATCAGAGAAAGCTTCCTGTAGAAATAAAGGTCCTCCCTATCCTCCTGTGCTTTGTAGGAAGCATAAGGAAGCATAATGTGGCGAGGGAAGAAGGGTATTTCTCACACAGGAATAAGTAAAAGCTCAGAATCAGGAAAGTACAGTCATCTCCAGTACCCGCAGGGGATTGGTTCCAAGAGTCCCTCCTATACCAAAACCCCTGATGCTCAAGTCCCTATGTAAGATGGTGTCGTACTCTGAGTATGATGGCATCCATAGCCATAGGTTTCACATTTTCAGATTCAACCAACTTTGGATGTGGAGGGCTAACTGTGTAGGGAATGTTTAAGGAGTAGCAGGGAAATTAATGGGACTAGGAGAGAAGGGGGAGGTAGAGACATCTTGGGAGATGAGGTATATTGGGATCAGATTGCAGGGGACTTTAAATTCCAAGCTGAGGTCTGGCTTTATCTGTATATGTTAGAGAGCTAGTGAATATTTACAAGGAGAGAAATGACATATTTAGTTCTACATTTCAGAAAGTAGAACTTCTTCTAGTGGTATGGATGAAGATGAGGATGACAAGGAGAGAGACCTCTTAGGATCTAGAGAGATATTCCTGAAGCAGAGCGAACAGAATTAGGTGAATTACTGATTGATAAAGAGGGGCTGGAAGGACACAGTCTGTACAGAGATTGTACCAAGTGCTTCGATGGATGGATTTTCCTTGAGATGAGAAAAACGATCCTCAATGCCTAGAGGCTTGGGAAACTAGGAGTGAAGAAAGGGGATAAAGAGTAGATGGGCAGCATTATGCTGGGTTTTCTCAAATTTGGCTTGTGTAATCCCCCTTCCTACACAGGGCATTTATTCCTCATATTCAACCTTTTTAAACTGTGCTTTTCCCCAGAAAAGTGTAAAAAAGTGATGGATAATTTAGTGAGATTAAATACAGCACTCGAAGGATTTCCCAGGTACCTCAGTGGTAAAGAATCCACCTGCCAATGCAGGAGATGTGGGTTCCATGCCTGAGCTGAGAAGATACCCTGAAGGAGGAAATGGCAACTCACTCCAGTATTCTTGCCTGGAGAATCCCATGGACAGAGGAGCCTGATAGGCTATGGTACATTTAGTCACAAAGAGTTGGACACAACTGAGCATGTACGCACCATAGCACTAGAAGCTTCTTCCTAGTACAATTATACTCAATTCAGCTTAAACCAAAACTACTTTTGAACATCTGCCATATGCAGCAACTTCTGAAAAGAAAGGTATTGATGGTGATGTAGGTGGTCCCTGAGCCTCTAGTTACTTATTTTCACTCCCGGGCCCCCTACCTGCAGCTATTCTCTTCAGAGCAGACTTCACTTCCTGGTTCCTCAGCGTGTAGATGAGGGGGTTCAGTAATGGAGTGACAACAGTGTAAAACACAGCCACTGCCCCATCCAGGGGACTCTTGGAGCCAGCCCGAAGGTAGATGAAAATACAGGGGACATAGTAGACTGTGACCACGGTTAGGTGGGAGCCGCAGGTGGAGAAGGCTCGGCGCCGCCCATCAGCCGTGCGTATCTGCAGGATGGCGTGGACTATGTTGGCATAGGAGAGCAGAATTAACGTGAAACAGCTGGCGGCCACTACCCCGATGTCCACAAAAGTCACAAGCTCATTGACAGTTGTGTCTGCACAGGCCAGTCTCAATACTGCAGGGATGTCGCAGAAAAAATAATCCACCTGGTTGGGCCCACAGTAGGGCAGGCGGAATGTCAGGGTGGCCTGGATGGACCCATGAATGGAGCCAGCCACCCAAGCTCCAGCCACAAGGATGGTGCATAGCCTCCCGTTCATGAGCGCGGGGTAGCGCAGGGGCTGGCATATTGCCAGGTACCTGTCATAGGCCATCAAGGTGTAGAGGAAACACTGTGTGCTGCCCAGGAAATGAAAGAAATACAGCTGAGCCGCACAGCCACCAAACGGGATCCTCTTGCTGGCGGGAGTAAAGTTTAGAATAATTCGAGGAACGATGACGGAGGAGAGCCACATGTCCAGGAATGAGAGCACGCCCAGGAGAATGTACATGGGGCGAGTGTGGAGCTTTGGGTCAGCCCACACAGTGAGCAAAATGAGGAGGTTGCCCAGCTGAGTCAGGATGTAAATGATGAAGAAGACTAAGAAGAGGAGAGTCCTCAGCCTCGGTGGGTGAGATAAGCCCAGGAGGATGAAATCTGTCACCACAGTGTCCAGGGATGTGTTTCTGGTCTTTTCCATGTTCTTCTGTAGTCTGCTAAGATGAATGATGTAGTCAGGCAAGGAAAATACAGCACAGAGATGTGATGGGAGAATGCTTTTGTCTGATGACCAGAGTCTAGGAGGTAAGCAGAGCATGTCTACATTTTATATAAAAAGTATTTTTGGCTTGGCATTCAAGGGAGATGCTGCTTGGAATGGAATGTAACAGGGTGGCATGAGAAAGCAAAGTCAGGGAGAAATGAGACCTTCTTACTAGGTCAGGTAGGAAGTCATAGGATGAACTGTTGTCTTGGATCCCCTTTGCCCGGAGGCTCACTCACTTTGAACCCCTTGCTAGCAATGTCTCTTTCACTTTGAAAGAAATCAGGTTATCTTAAAGGATTGGCCTCTTTTTGGCATGTCTACAGTGAACTGGGGTTTTGTATGGGACATTTTGGGTTGGGACTCTTCCTGTCAAGAGATGATACAAATCACTAGGGCTGCGGGATGTGGAAGGATCCATCACTGGGTCTCTTAACCTTGCTAATCTTTTGGACAAGACTCAGATCATAGCCCTTTCAGGCTGTGAGGTAGCATGAGCAGAGAGGTAGTGCAAGGGCAGTGAACAGTGTTTGGATTCGGTGGGGAGGCAGAATCCACGTTTTACTGCTCTGATTATCCTGTAAGTGTCTTTGTCCTGCACGTTAAAAAAATCTTGCTTAAGCAAAGGTGCTTTAAGGAGAAATATTGTACGGCATCTCTTATATGTGGAATCTAAAGAGAAATGATAGAAATGAACTTACAAAACAGAAAGAGATAGACTTAAAGAATGAACTTACGGTTGCTGGTGGGAATGATGGAGGAAGGGATAGTTAGGGAGTTTGGGATGGACACGTACACACTCCTTTATTTCAAATGAATAACCAACATGGAGCTACTGTATAGTATATGGAACTCTGCTCAATATTATGTAGCAGTCTAAATGGGAGGGGAGTTTGGGGAAAAACTGATACATGTATGTATGTATCAGTTGTATGTATGTATGGCTGAATCCCTTTACTGTTCATCTGAAACTATCACGACATTGTTAACTGGCTGTACCACAATGCAAAAGAAAAAGTTTTCTTTTTTTAAAGGAAAGCTACTTGAAATGGAAGGCCTTCCAAACTTCAATTAAGTTCACCCAGTGTACTCATCCCTGGGAGAAGAAGGGTTAGGGAACTCATTCTGTGTTTGCTCTGTAATACTGAGTCTGTTGCATCATTTATGCTGTTTTCCTTTCTCCCCTAAATAGAGAAAATAAAAGATAAATGCTAAAAAAATTTTTTCAGTTCAAAGAAGAAAGTTCCCAAATCTGGAGAGAAACTCATTTAGTTCGGACTTGATACACTTATCATATGAACTCTGTGAGCAGAGGATGAAGTAAGGAAAAAAAAAAAAAAGGAAAAGAGACAACCTAAATATGATTTTCGACAAAGTTCCTGAAACTTTTGTGATTTCTAAACTATGTCTTTGCTCCTTTTGTGAACTGACCTGACTTTAGAAATGCTTTCCAGTTTGCACTCACATGAACACAGCAGCAATATCTTGGTGGAGGCTGGCCTTTCTTAGGCAGAATGGCCCTGCAGGTGAGGACAGCATCCTCCAGAGCACCCTCTGGGCTTGTGGTGATGGCTCACTGGATCTCTGCTTTGGAATGAAATTGACACATTGACTCCTTTAATTATCTGTGAGACCTCCTGCCCTTGGAGGCTCCTTACAGATTGTGACTTCTCTACTTAAATGTCTTGGATCTTATGTTGGTTAAATTATTAGCTGGATCTCCTTTGACTGAGGTATTTTTTTTTTTTTTTAACAAAACACTGTCAAGAGATTTGTAGAAATTATTGACCTCTTGGGAATTCTACCCAGAACATTTCCCTGAAGAGAACTGCAGTCCCCTGAACCTCATTATTTTTTTTGCTTTGACAGCAAGCAGAAATCATTTCTACATTATCTAGAAAGTGAACTATGGAGAGCAACACTATCTGTTGGATGAAAGACATAATCTCTAATTTCTGTGATCCTTTTTTTTTTGAAAGTGTTGCTGGACCACACATTTACCCACTTTCCAAAAATGCATTGAAAATGCACTAAATTTTCAATGGTTGAACTAATCTTTGTTACATGGCTTCCAAGACATTTATTATCCATTGACTGTTGGACAAGTCTGCTGGTATACAAGAGTGTGGATTCAGCTGTAAGTGAGGAATTAATACATACTCATGAAAGCCAAGGAAAGCCTCACTTTCCCATGGACCCAGAGTAGCTTTAACATTCTTGATTCCACAGAACTTCCATGAGGGGAAATGATGCTGACTTTGCATGACAAAAATGAGCAATAAAGATTCAAAATCCCAGTTAGACAGCAGGTTCCAAAACAGGACTGTGTTCACAACAGAGCTCAATAAATAATTTTTTTCCCAAAATGTATTGATTTCAACTATAGTGAATTCTCCAATATGTATCAACATTGATTTAAACAAGTTAAAAAATAATCGCTTTATTTAAGTTAATACAAATGTTGTAGAGCTCACCCTTTCAATCTGTACAATTTTGTTGTTTTTGTTATATTTACAAAGTTGTGAATTGATCACTGCAGTCTAACTCTTGAATAATTTCATATGTCCCCAAATCCTCCTCTACCCCACTCCTGGTGAACACTAATCTACTTTCTGTTTCTATGGATTTGCCTATTCTGAACATTTCATATAACTGAAATCATGTAATATGTGGCCTTCTGTGTCTGGTCACCCTGACTTAACATAGCATTTTCAAGTTTCATCCATGTAGTTGCACGTATCAGAACTCCATTCCTTTTTGGGACTGATTGCGATTCCATTTTAAAGCTATACCATATTTTGTTTATCTTTTTATCAGTTAATGGACATTTTATTTGGTTACACATTTAGGCTGTTTTAGTGCTGCTATGAGCATGCATGTACAAGTTTTTCTTTTGTGTTTGTAAGCATATGGTTTCATTTCTTTTGGAATATACCTAGGAGTAGAATACGAAAATTCTATGTTTAACATTTTGAACAATTGCCAAGTTGTTTTTTAAATGTCTTCACCATTTATTATTACCACCAACAATGTATGAGGGTTCCAAATTTCTCCACGTCTAGACAACACTTGTCCTTGTATGTCTTTTTTATTGTAGCTGCCTGTGATAGTAAATTGTATTCATCAGAGACGGGTGTGTATTAAAATATATATATCAGAGATCATAGGAAATTCCTTTCTGGAATGTCTTAATATACAGTTTAAGATATGTTTGAGGCTTTCCTTTTTTACTCTTTTTTCTTCTGTTCTTTTCTTCCTTCCTCTTTTTTTCCATCTCTTTCTTCTCCTTGTATCTCTCCTCCAAGTCTCATCTGCTTTTAGTTTCTTTTACATTTAATAAAAAAACTTGCTCATTTTAATGTTGAGTAGCACAGAGATGTACAAGAAATAAAATCCCCTTACTCCACTTTCCCATTGCCATCCCTAATGTAAACAATGGTGAAGTTCATCCTATATATGCCTACACTTTAAAGAAGTTATACATATATACATGTGACTAGTTAGGTATTAAGAGAGACTTCCTAAAGGTGGACAGAATTTGATGTCTTAGCACATGGGAGAGTAAGGGACAGGAAGGAAGTACAGATGATCAAGTATTTCTGGGTTGAAGTGCTTGGGAATGTTAATGCGGTGAATAAGCAAAGAAATACAGAATTTACAGAAGTCTAGGTTTAGGGGTAGAGAGGATGAAAAAGGGGCTATGGTAGCATTATGTCTTATTTTTCCCTTTCACATTTTCTGACATAATTTACCTCAAAGAAGTTGACATCCTATTTAACCTTTGAAAGACATTTTCTTATCTCACAAGGTAATCAAAAGGTGCTAGAAGGAGTGTATCCATTTATTTCCAAACAAATAATGTAAAAGCAATTTGGCCAAGTTTAAGGAAATGAAAAGATTATGAATCCAAAGAATTCAGAAGTTTCCTCTAAAGAGAGTTAAATTCAGTACAGTTTAGATCATGAATAGCTTTTGAACATCTGCCATATGCAGCAACTTCTGAAAAGAAAGGTATTGATGGTGATGTAGGTGGTCCCTGAGCCTCTAGTTACTTATTTTCACTCCCGGCCCCCCTACCTGCAGCTATTCTCTTCAGAGCAGACTTCACTTCCTGGTTCCTCAGCGTGTAGATGAGGGGGTTCAGTAATGGAGTGACAACAGTGTAAAACACAGCCACTGCCCCATCCAGGGGACTCTTGGAGCCAGCCCGAAGGTAGATGAAAATACAGGGGACATAGTAGACTGTGACCACGGTTAGGTGGGAGCCGCAGGTGGAGAAGGCTCGGCGCCGCCCATCAGCCGTGCGTATCTGCAGGATGGCGTGGACTATGTTGGCATAGGAGAGCAGAATTAACGTGAAACAGCTGGCGGCCACTACCCCGATGTCCACAAAAGTCACAAGCTCATTGACAGTTGTGTCTGCACAGGCCAGTCTCAATACTGCAGGGATGTCACAGATAAAGTAATCCACCTGGTTGGGCCCACAGTAGGGCAGGCGGAATGTCAGGGTGGCCTGGATGGACCCATGAATGGAGCCAGCCACCCAAGCTCCAGCCA